CTAAGTAGCTCACACTACAGGTACATACCACAGTGCCCGGATGACTACACACCTAAATCCTTCTTCTCTGTAGGAGCCTTCCTGTTTGCAAAATAATCTGTGTATTTGTACCTGTTGTAGGAGGGCTTGGGCATTCTCATCCAAGAATAACAATACAAAATCATTTGGGGAAATATAATTTAAGAGGGAGCATGACTAGAGAACAGAATGACAGCTACAAAATGGTTAACTTTCTAATGGTTAACTAGTAGAAATCAACACTTCTGAAAATTTATACAGGGAACACTCCTGAACCAGAGGTAATTATAATATAGAAATACAAAACATTTTCAACTTCGAGCTTATGGGAAAACTACAACTGGTTAAGGCAATGTGCTCCGTTAAGCACAAAGCTTGGTCCCATTAAACAAATCCCAACAGGTAAATTCACTTTTCTTTGGCCCATTAATACCTTTGACCTGAATCCCAAGCTTTTTGAGGGCTTCCTCCACAGACTGGCTTTCTCGTTTCCTCATGAAGCCATTATCAATGTGCACAGCAATGACCTGATCTTGGTTCAACGCACGATTCAGCAAAGCTGTACAAACCGTTGAGTCTACACCACCACTGAGTAAAACCTACAAAGGAAAATAAAGGGGGAAAAAAAATCAAACTGAGCAAAATAAACAGAAAGAAAATAAACACCATCCCTTCCCCAAATCATCCCTAGAAGCACGATTGTGCTGACGAGCAGTACACCCGACTCACCCAGTCAACACCCAAGGCTGTTAAGAAATCCAGCTATGGATTCCAACATCACCCACATAACCATGTAGCATTGTCAGATGATAATTGCTTACCAAGACTTTTGATGTGCCAACTTGCTCTTTGATCTCCCGAATGCATTCACGTTCTCTGTTCTGCACAGTGAAGTTCCCACTGCACCCAGCAATATCATAAAGGAAATTCTTCAATATTACTTTCCCATTTTCTGTAAGGCCAACTTCAGGATGAAATTGTGCTCCGTATAATTTTTTAGACTCATTTGCTATACCTTTATAGAAAAAATAATCACAAATTTTTTTTCAGGTTGCAAAGACTCAACCGATACCCATAATTCATCTTCAAAATCTCTCTAAAAATGTTTAAACTAATGTACTTCACTGGACTTTTATAGTTACATGGAAAGACAAAACACAAAACAAAATAACAATGCCACAATCTTTAAGGTTTTTTTTCTTTAATATAACAATAAGCTATAGTACACTGCAATGAGTCTTCAAGATTGTTTCACAGTACTGTCACTTCTCCACCAATACTTTATTTTTTTAATATTTTTTTTAGTTGTAGTTGGATACAATACTTTTCCTTCAACCATGTATTTTTATGAGGTGCTGAGGATCGAATCCAGGGCCTCACACATACTAGGTGAGCGCTCTACCACTGAGCCACAATCCCAGCCCCTCCGTCAATACTTTAATTGTCATGCAGTTAATGCAATAACTTAATTTTGGTTCTTTGGCTTTCACATATAATGTGCAATGGCCAATTTCTTATATAAATGGAATCTCACAATTAGCATTTCAGAACACTTTAATTGTTTCTCTTGAATGCCATTCCAGTGTCAGTCCTTCCCCCACTCTTCCCCTCATTGCACTGTCACCTTAAAATTAGATCAAGTCTTTCCTTTGTTCAAAGCCTCACCTAACTAAAAAGAGTAGAAGACTACAATGGGTCAAAAGTCCTGTGCTGTGGACCACAATTACCTAGTCTATACCTTGTACCACTTCTTCCACATTACTGTGCTCTATGTTGTCTTCCTTTTTTTTCCCTCCTTGCAGAGGGAGTCCGGGGGTACCAGAGATTGAACTCAGGATCACTTGACCACTGAGCCTCATCCCCAGCCCTATTTTCTTTTTTATTTAGAGACAGGGTCTCACTGAGTTGCTTGGCACCTCGCTTTTGCTGAAGCTGGCTTTGAACTTGTGATCCTCCTACCTCAGCCTCCTGAGCTGCTAGGATTACAGATGTGTACAACCTCACCTGGCTGCTCTATGTTGTATTAAATGTGGTCCCATCCCAGGGCCTCTCTACTACTATTTCTTCCTTCATCAGATATCAAGAGTGGTCACTTCATCTTCTTCAGGTCCATTATGTCTTATAGGAATACCTTCTCTGAACATCCTAGATAAAACAGTCATGTGCAAGCCAGGGGTGGTGGCACATGCTTGGAATCCCAGCTTCTTAGGAGGCTGAGGCAGGAGGATCTCAATTTCTTAGTGCTTCAGCAAAAGTGAGGCACTAAGCAACTCAATGAGACCCTGTCTCTAAATAAAATACAAAAAATAGGGCTGGGGATGTGGCTCAGTGGTTGAGTGTCCCTGTGTTCAATCCCCCCACCCACATTAAAAAAAACAGTACCATTCCTAATCACCTTCTGCAACACCCCCCCCACACCTGTTTTCGATGTTCATACTATCTAACAGCTCACCTATTCTGCACTGTGTTGTCTACCCTCCCCACTCCCCAGGTTTCTGCCCATTTTGTTCATTCCGGATCCTTGACACCTAGAATGTGCCTGACACAAAATAGGTAGTCAAATATGTTAAATGAATAAAAATCACTGAGCTCACCCTCCACTGTACAGCTTTTACATGAAGAGGACCACTGTTCCTGATCACTCCTCTGCTAAAGTATGAGTTCTTTGAGTAAGTGCAGGCAGATTACTTGACTCAGTTCATCCATGACAAATCATTTCTCAACTTATCAATTAGGTTTGATAACTCAAACAAAAAGAGCTTCATTGGGCTGGGACTGGGGCCTAGTGTAGAGCACCTGCCTAGCACGTGGGGTCCTCAGCACCACATAAATAAATAAAATAAAGGTACCATGTCTGTCTACAACTAAAACTACACATATATATAATAAAAAAGAGCTTTATTGATAAACCCATTTTTTTCTTTTACTGATTTTCAGGGATATTAGTGATTATTTATATAACAATTTTTAAGTAAGGAAGTCCAAACTCTGAACTGCCAAAATCCCTCTTCCTCAAAAAAAGGTCGAGCATGAAAATAGTTTCTAGAAAGGACAAAACACTGAATTGAAGTATGAAGACTTGAGGGACATATAGGGTTCCTGTGTTTTATTAAAGCCCATTAATAACATAAAAACCACCCTTATATGGACACCCCCAAATCTAGGATACACGATAGATTTGACCCACAGGTCATAGCTGGCCAATCCTGGTTGAGAAAAAAGTCTTGAGTGCTTTGGTATTTTGTAAAAATCTAAGACTTACATTTAAAAGGCATTAAAAACAAGCAACTGTGAAAACAGCATGAAAAGAGGAGAGGCAATGTTTCCTGAGTTATGCAATACAGTGATCTATATTTGAAAAGCTTCTACTAGGACAACCTTTGTCAAAATGTTTTAAAGTAAGCTAATGTGATTTCTGGATAGTTCTTCCAATATTAAATTCCCTACTAATTAACAGTTTATCTTGCCACATCTGCAATATCTTTAAAAAATAAGATCAAAGAGGACAACACACAGAAACATATGCATACTCTGCAGATATGTAGAGGAGATCTACAAATGTAGATTTCTACCTGCTACAATGTTCCCAGAACGTGCCACAACCTTAAATCCATCAGCTACTTTGTCAACACTATCTCCATGAGTAAGCAGAACAATTTCCTCCTTTTGAAGGCCCCTAAACATAAAAAAGTAAAACATCACGAATCTCAATTATAAGTGATTAACAGACTCTTTTGCTTTAGAAATGACATGCGTGGATCAAGAAAACAGATGTAAGTGTATATATATATACAGTGCAACACAGTTGGAATTCAAATTTATTACATATAAGGCAAATAAAGGATATCAAATCTTAACAAAAAACTAAAAAGGAAATCCATAAAAACAGAATATGTGAAGTGGTAGTTTAACCACACACAAAATAATTTCTGGAGTCTACAAAACAAAAATTTCAACATTACAACACAAATGGGTTTAACTTAAGAGAAATATTTCAAAGACCTTCATGCTTCACTCAGTAGCATGGTAGTCGTACCAAGAATGACAGTACTAACACTGATACTGCTATCCTACAGCTGTATATAAATACAAATATATGTGTATTGTCAGTTTAAAAAAAAACATAACTATTGTAATCAGTAATCTAAATGTTCATCTTAAGAGTAAGGAGATTAAAAAAATTAGAGTTAGGTAAAAACTATAATCTGTCATTTTAATTAGAAATTATATATACTGATAATTTTCTCTTTCTAAAAGAAAACATACTGCGTCACTCCATTCATTGAAAAGTCCTACAAACAGTAACAAACTTGTAGCAACATGGACCTCCAGTGCCAAGTGAATCAGGGACAATTAAGGTGGGAGGAGCTACTATAGATAAAGAGACTTACATAACATTATACACATATAATGTGTAGATTTTCTCTGGACCCTGAGTTAGACAGACCAATATGAAAAGATACTGCTTACATTACAGGAAAATTTGAATGAGGACTTGGTATTAAATAATGGTAGGGAACAGCACATGAACCAGAAAGACAGGAAAAAAGATTTCTTAATTTATGTATAAAACTTCTTGTGCCGGCACAAAGCATAGAAAATCCAAAAAGAAAAAGAGAGTCTAAAATATAAGTGTCTGGTCTTTTAAAAAAAACAATGAAAATTCAAGCCAATCAATGATTTGAGGAAACTTGTAAACAGCTCATTCACTTTTGGATGGGTGGGGCCGGGGAGAGAAAGGCGGGTTGAACCCAAGACCCTGTGCATGTCAAGCACACACTCCCCTCACCAACAAGCTGCACCAGCAGCCATCATTCATCAAGTTTTAAATAGATTAGAACTACAGCAATCTTATCACCTAGCAACAAAACCAAATGCATTCATCGAATTAAAAAGATTGTACCCAGGCCACAGTTCTGCCTCCACATAAAGAAGGTGAAGGAGGAATAAAGAGTCGAGAATTGAATGGCTTGTTAAGAATCAAGAAACAAAGGAGTGCATGCCTGGGGCGTTGGCATATGCCTGTAATCCCAGCAGCTCAGGAGGCTAAGGCAGGAGAATGATGAGCTCAAGGCACTAAGCAACTCAGCAAGGCCTTGTCTATAAATAAAATGTAAGAGAGTGCTGGGGATTTGGCTCAGTGGCTAAACACCCCTGGGTTCAATCCCAGGTACCAAAAAAATTAGTGGGGGGGTGCAGAAGGAGGTTTGTGCCTGCATACAGTAGACCCAGGACAGTTTAAGTCATGACTCACTTGCCACATGTGGCACACTAACATATAAGATCCACAAATGCTGGCATCACATGACAAGGTGCTAAACCACACAGGTGCCTTGAGGGCACGTCCTAAATATTCTTCTTAGTCCTAACTAGCTTCCAGCTAGCCTGTGCTGCCTTGACATTCACCTGGGAGGCACACACAGCAAGCACAGGGGCTGCAGAGGATGAATTACACAGTCTCCAATTTTGAACAACAATAATATCAACTTTTTAGTTAATCTACAACCGTTATTCTTCTAAAAATACCTGAACAATGAGCATGTATTGTCCACACTGATGTTGAAGACTCCATCTTCTCTAACACTTTTTTTGTGCACTGTACCTCCAAATACCTTATTCATCATCTATTCAAAGAGAAAATTAATTGATGTTAATGTGAAAAGAAAAACACTCATTGTTATGCTGATTTAATCATATTCTTTTTCCAGATTATTGTTATATTTGTACCCCCAAAATACAGGGAGTTTGATAAATGTAGATAACTTTATATTTTACATATAATTATATAGTCATAAAAAGCATGATTATAACAAAATTGGATTAGAAATTTGACCTGAGGTTAATTTCTGTTAAACACTGGAAGACTTTCTACTTAGTATACTTTAATTAATTCATCTTTTAAAAATAGTAATTTTGGTATTTAAATCACTTTAATTTAAAAAGTGACTGAAACTGGGGGTGGTGGCTCTCATCTGTAATCCCAGCAGCTTGGGAAGCTGAGGCAGGAGGATCACAAATTCAAAGCCAGCCTCAGCAATGGCGAGGTGCTAAGCAACTCAGTGAGACCCTGTCTAACTAAAACCCAAAACAGGGCTAGGGATGTGGCTCAGTAGTTGAGTGTCCTTAGTTCAATCCCTGGGTCTTAAAAAAAAAAAAAAAAAACACACAGTTACTTTGAGCTGAGAAGAAAAGCAGAAATCACAAATTTAGACAAGTATAGATTCTTCCAAGCTTTTAATTCTCTGGCACCAAAGGAGCCGTCTTAAAGCTACAGGAACTGTACTGCAGATGGGGTCAGCAAGAAAATCCAGCCTTTCAATCAGCCATCTGTTCAAATCCCATACACCTACAGACTTCCTTAATTCAAATGGTTTCTTCATTCCACCCTTCCTTATGTTCACCTTATTTTTTTTTTTTTTGTATTGAGGATTTAATCCAGGGGTGCTTCACTACTGAGCCACATCCCCAGCCTTTTTTATTTTGAGACAGGATCTCACTAAATTGCTTAAGGCCTTGCCAAATTGTTGAGGCTTGAATTCAAGATCCTCAGCCTGCTTCAGCCTCCCAAATTGCTGGGATTACAGGGTGTGCCACCATGGTAGGCATTCTTTTTATTTTTCCCATATAACCCAAACCCTCCACCCACACTAAACACACATAAGATTGTGCAAACCTCAAATCTGCACTGCCAGACTCGCTTCAACTCAAGTCTGCCTTCTGCACAGCAGAAGCCTAAAATGGTGGCCTGACACGAGCCACAGATACCTGCCCTCCAAGGTGAGAAAGGCAAAACACAGGCTGACCAGCCCCCCACAAAGAAGCAGGCAGAAAGCTAAGGAAACATTCCTAAAACTCGGAGAGGAGTATTTTTCAAAACCCTGAGCAAATGCTGCCACCTCTATAATCTCTCCTAGGGATTCACACTAAATCTGACCACAATAAAGCTTCAGATTACATCCAGCAGTAAAGGAACACACTTTGTCTAACCTGGGATTTTTCAAACTAAAAACTCAGACATATAAAACTGACAGCAGACTGGTTAACATGCAATTTAGGAAACACTGGTGGTGCCTTTGGGGTTTCTATTTTGTCTCTAGGGAGCAGACACAGAGTCTCTCTGCTTCCTGGGTGCTACTTCTGGAGCTGCTTTCCTCTACCACACCCTTCTGCCATCATGTGCTGTCCCACCTAAGACCCAAAGCAATGGAATTGACTGAACTCTGAAACCAAGAGTCAAACTTTTCCTCCTCTAAGTTGTTCTTGTCAGGTCTTTTGGTCAAAGAGACAAAAAGCTGACTTATCTAATTTTTGCTTTCACTTCTCATTTTCCCCATTCTTTAATCTAGTCATTGAAACTAGTAAAATTGTCTGCAGGTCTCTTCACATTCCAGGGGCCTATTAAAGTTTATGGCCCACAGCTGTCCTTTAACTTTGCTGAATGAGAATGAATACTTTCTTCTTTAGCATCAATAAACCTCATTGTACTTCTGCCTCCCATAATTTGCAACTATAATTATAAGACAATTGAAAAACCAAAATAACTAAGACTGTTGGAACTCTACTTAACTCAGGAGTCTCAGGAATTCCTACAAAGCCCAGGGCTTGCAATAGCACTTAAAACTGTTCTACTTGGCAGAAAGCTTTTGTGCTTCTTTCTGGTTCTGTTACTCAGAACTGAAGGGAAGAGGGCAAGCAACCAGGAAAGTGTGTATTTGGAGGAGCAGGGAAACTATGTACACTAAAAAGTACTTTGTAGTTATATTTAGGTTTTAATATTCTGATTTGAAGTATGGATTCCTGAAAACATCAAGGTTTCATCTCAAAGAAACCCTATAGTTCCCCAAGTCTACCACCTAAAATTCAGGTCAGCTCCTTTTCTCTGTCTTAAGACAAAGTTCTACAATAAGGCTCTGAATGGGGGAAAGAAAGGGAGGGGAAATTCTAACAACAAAAATAACAGGACAAAGCAGTGCGTCACAGCTGATGGCGCATGCCAAGTTCCAAGCCAGCCGGAGAAACAGAGCAAGACCATGCCTCAAAAATAAAAGTGACGGGAAGTTATACTCCTTGTATGCATAATATATCAAAATACACTCCAGTATCATGTACACCTAAAAAGAAAAAATAAAAAAATGAAAAATAAATAAATTTTAAAAATTTAAAAGTAAAAATGACTGCAGATGTAGCTCACTGATAAAGCTCCTTGGGTTCAAATCCTCAGTATCAAAAAACTAAAACATAACAATGTCATAAAACCTTGTGGGAATATCAAAGGAGAGGGGAAACAAAATAAATTGCAATCTGGATTACAATTAACACAACAAGCAAAAGTTCCATATTGGGCATCTACAAAGAACTCCCACAAGACAATTAAAAAGGCAGTTCAGGGCTGGAGCTGGAGCTCAGTGGCAGAGCACTGGGTTTGATCCTCAGCACCACATAAAAATAAACAAAATAAAGGCATGCTGTCCGTGTAGATAACTACAAAAAATTTAAAAAAAAAAAAAGGCAGTTCAGAGAAATGAGCAAAAGTCACAAATAAGCCTTTACAATAAAGAGGCAGCACGAGTGGCAAATAAATACACTAATAAAGAGAAATAAGGAAAAGAACATTCGGACTACAATATCTTCCCTAAATGTGCAATACAAAAAAAAACTAAGCTCTGGTCATGGCAAGGGTTGACAGGGATACAGACAGAAGATATTTTTATATACTACTATAAAAAATGCAAAATTAGAAGATGACCAGGAACACAACTCTGTCCTGTATGTTGAGATGTAGAAATAATTTGTGTTATATTCAAATGAATTCAGTGAAAATGAAATTACAATTAAATGTATTAAAATGAATAAACCTCAAAACTGAAGCTGAAAATACAGGCAGTATGATTTCATGTATATAAAGGTCAATGAACAAAACTAAACATATTATTTAGAGATATAAACATGAATATGGCTATACAGGAAGAGAATGGGGGCTGAGGTTGTAGTTCAGTGGTGGAACACTTGCCTCACAAGTGTTAGACACTGGGTCGAACCTTAGCACCACATAAAAATAAACAAAATAAAAGCCAGGCATGGTGGCGCACCCCTGTAATCCCAGCAGCTGAAGAGGCTGAGGCAGCAGCAATACCAAGGTGCTAAGCAACTTGTGAGACTCTGTCTCTAAATATTTAAGTATAAAATAGGGCTGGGGATGTAGCTCAGTGATCAAGTGGCCCTGAGTTCAATCCCCAGTACCAAAGAGAGAAAGAGAGAGAAAAGGGGGGCGGGGAGGGAGGGGGAAGAGAGAGACAGAATGGGTAAATTTCTGCCCAAAAGCCTAATTCCATTATCATACTATGGAAGTTCAGATAATCATAAAAGACAACATTTTTTTTTT